TTTTATAACCTATCTGCTGCCACCTCCACTCCCCAGAGGATGGGGACATGGGACTGAGAGTCCCCACCCTCTAATCAGTGTGTTTGGTCTTTCTAGTGACCAGCTCCCATCCTGAGGCTATCTAGGGTTCCCATCTTTACTCACATCATTCACACAGACTCAGGCTTATTCTAAAAGGGATCATTATGGATAACAAAAGATACTCGTATCACTCAAAAATGGTTTAGGAGTTCTGTGCCAGGAACCAGGGACAAAGCCCAAATGTACGTTTTTAACACCACAGATTATCTTATTCCTTATCAAAATAAATTCCAAATGAAGCAAGGATTAAAATGAAAAATAAAATATCGGGGCATCTGGGTGTCTCAGTCGGTTAAGTGTCCAACTTCAGCTCAGGTCATGATCTTGAGGTTCACAAATTCAGGCCCTGCATCAGACTCTGAGTGCTGAGAGCTCAGAGCCTAGAGCTTGCTTCGGATTTCTCCCTCTCTCTCTGCACCTCCCCCACTCGTACTCTGTCTCTCTCTTGTCTCTCAAAAAAAAAAAAACAAAAAAAACACATTAAAATGAAAAATAAAACCTTAAAAATAAAAAAGATAGCATGGAGGAAATTTAAGAATAGTTTTTTTTTTTTTATTTTTAAAGTTTATTTATTTATTTTGAGAGGCAGAGATAGTATGAGTGGGGAAGGGGCAGAAAGAGGGAGAGAGAGAATCCCAAGCAGGCTATGAGCTGCTAGCACAGAGCCTGACTTGAGGCTTGAACCTACGAAAGCTCAAGATCATGACCTGAGCCAAAACCAAGAGCCACATGCTTAACTGACTGAGCCACCCAGAAACCCCAAGAATACTTTTTAAGAGTGTTAAGGCCTCTTTTACACAGTATAGCACAAAATCCAAATGCCCATAAAAGGGGGAAAAAAGGATATATCTGACTGCCTGCAAAGAATTTTTTGAATTTTTAATAGGAAAAAAGACATAAATACAAAATACTGAACAAACAGTAGTGAGAAAAGTAAATTGCAACACAGAAAACATAAAGAGATCCTATAAATCCACAAGTAACCAAAGACAACAGTCAAAAGACATGAATAGACAGTTCACAAAGAACTACAAATGGCTCTTACATATAAGATATATGCTCAACTCTCAATAAACAAATCTAAGATACCATTTTTCACCTATAAGATTGGCAAACATGGAAACAAAATGTTAAACATGTTGATGTATATTATTCTCCTGGTTCTACACACACAAACACACACACACACTTGAGGGACTTAATTAAAAAATGCTTTATATATTTTATATTTTCACGTATATAGTTCTCCTTTTGTGGATACATAAATTTGGGAAGGTTTGCAAAAATGAAAATATTCTGAATTTTTTAATATAATGTTAATATTTTGATGCATATCCTTGTTTTTGTATAGCTGCATGTGGGGAGTGGTTACAAAAATGAGAACATATAATACATGCTGTTTAAAACATGTTTTTCCCTCTTATCAAGAATACCTCTTTATGTCATTAAATGTCTTCATCACCTTCTGCATGGGCTTTTCAATACCCTTTTTCTGACTACCCTATCCTTAGTCTTCTCTTAGTTCATCCTCCATTTCACCTCCAGAGTAATCTTTACAAGTTCTTTGGGTTCCCACTGCTGACCCAGATGCCTTAACCAAAACATAACAGAACATGCTACTTCTCCAGATTTAGCTCTTGCAACCTTCTTCCCTCCATATTACATATCCATCTTCCATTGGGTGCGCCAGGCACTCCCACTGTTGCTCAGCCTGGAATCACTCTCCTAAATCTTCTTCAGAAATAATCTATGTATCTTCCAAAATTCTATTAAAGACACCTCCTCCAAGAAACCATCCTTGGTGCTCAAAGTTAATACTTTTGTGCTCACAGCACTCCATTGATCTCTTAACTATAACATTCTACACTTTATGGTCATTTACCTGTTCACCAGTTTATCTCCCTAACTAGGCCACGTGCTTCTTGAGGATTAGGGATTTTATTTATTTCTATAGCCACTGGATGGGGACTGGGATGGGGATGAAAATGAGACTAGTGGTCCTTGAAGAGTGTTTCAGGCTGAAGGCAAGTAGAAGGTTCTAAGCACTGAAAAGTTCAGAATGACAAGAGCATGAAGTGAGTGAGAAAGAAGAGAGAGGAGAGAGGGGAGAGGGGACAGAAGAGACAGAGGAGACAGAGGGGAGAGGGGAGGGAGAGACAGAAAGAAAAGAGAGAGAGGTAGGCACAAGACGTGGTTGATCCTGGAAGCAAACTAAGGCATTTAGATTTCAGTCTAAGGTCCTGGGGATAACAGGGATTATAAACAGAGCTGTGGTTTGTAGATTTACTTTTGATAGATTGCTCCATTAGCAACATGGGGAATAAAGATTACTTAGGGCACTACAGTAGTTGTACAAGAAATGATCATGGCTTAAACCTGAGTGGTGTAAATGGGGATAGAGAAGAGTGAATAGAATGTAGAGAGGGGGATCTAGAAAATGAAAATGTTCAGGGAGTAAGTAGATGTGGGAGACTGGCAAAGGAGGGAGTCAAGGGTGAAATCTAGATTTCCGGACTTCTCTGCATATAACACAGAGTGACCTTGTTGGTCATTTAATCTCTGTGTATTTAATCATCGGTGAAACTGGTTTATGACACTGATCTACTAAACTTCAAAGGATTCATATTAGGATCAAGTGAAACACTATATGTGAAGGTGCTATGAAAACTATATAGTTTAATTACATTACATTAATGCAGAAGTGGCAATTACTTAACACCCTCCATGTCTGGCACAATACAAAGCATGTTATACGTGCAATTGCATTTAATTTTCTCTAAGATCTCACTTACCCCTACTTTATAGATTAGGAAACAGAGTCAAAAAAGCTTAGTAACTTGTCCAAGGTCACCTACTGGTAAATACTGCAAAACTAGAATTCAAACTCAAATTGTTGGACTCTAGGATTCTAATATACCACCTTGCCTCACTAGAGTTCTTTCCTTAAAATTTTATTCTTTATTGAAATCCCTCCTGTATCAAATAGCTAAACATCTGTTGACATTTCTTCCATGAAGTATTGAAATGGATCTGCTCCCACAACATGACCTCTTGTTTGAAATTCTCCAAAGACATTCTAAAGTTCTCCTATTCTAGGAGCATCTTTGCTGTCAGCACAGAGCCCAATTCAGATCCTCTCTCTCAAAAATGAATAAACATTAAAAATAAAAAATATTAAAGTTCTCTTTTGTATCATATAATGAAAATAATTAATTTGTCTGAAAGTGTGATAACGGAGACTAGAAGAATGACACATACAAATAGATTCCCTCTACAGAGATCATGTGGATTCTTCTGTTTTGCTGAGACTTTGTCTAAGGCCTGGTACGATGTTAGTGGAGATGCCTAATTAAGATTCCAGTATTTCTTCATTGTGGATTTCTTGCATTCATAGTGACTTAAAAAATACCGCATTAAAATACTGTTGATCTCAATTACTGAGTGTTTGGTGCCCCTTCAATTTTATCTCAGGAGACCCACTCCCTTTCCCTACCTACAAGCACGTGCCTGAAATTACACAATCTTCATCTCTGCTTATGTCTCCCCACACATCTCCAACACTAGTTAAATAAATCTGCATGCAAGTAAACACAAGTCTCCTGTGTAATGCTATTACTCAAATTTATATATATGCTTTTATGATTCTCAAATATACAAACCCACTTAAAAGCATTATATACCAGGATACTCACTGCAGCTTCAGTAGCAGAAAACTGGGAACAACCTAAATATCAACCAGTAGATGGCTAGTTGATGTTGTCGGTCTTACAAAGAATATGATTCAGCTGCTAACAACGAGGAATCCCTATACGTATTGCCATGGTACCATCACCAAGATACTTTAAGTATAATATACACCAACAGTGTGTATTATAAATTGACATTTTGTGTGGGGAAAATGCTTATATTTATATGCATATGAATTTGTAAGTTCAGAAAACCTCTCGGAAATTCAGAATATATAATGGTAATTGTGCTTGTCTATAAAGCAAGTTGAACTAGAGGGAGGAGGGCATACTTTTCACCAGATACCCTTTGGCACCTCTGAGTTCTAACAAGTTTCGTTACTACTTATAAAAATGAAACACAAGGCAGTACTGAATACCTAATATGGGGGGGGGGGGTACTGGATACTAGAAAACAATGGGCAGAAATGTTTCAGGGTTGTTTGTTTGTTTTTTTTTTTGTCTTAAAAAGGAGTCCTCTCAAAGAACGTACACGACTCACTACTCCATCAAGTTTAAGTTTTAAAACCTGCCTTGCGAGCCTGAGGCCTCAGCAGTGTCCGGAGCCCAAAGGGTGGACTGACATGCTTCTCGCATGGCACCAATCCTGCAGCCTGGTAAAAAGGCATCGAGCATTTTCTACCTTGCATTCTATCTCATCTTCTCTAGGCTTAAAACATTGGGCGAGGGCCCTTATCGGATTCGCTTCTGTATCGCCACAGCACCTAGAAGCCCTACAGGCACACAGTATCAAGTCAAGAAAACGTTAGTGACGGGGAGCAGAGAAGCAAGGGGAGGAAGCAGGGCAAACCGCGCGAGTGGGGGAGGGAGAAGCCCACCCTACACCGGCGGCCAGAGACCTCCAGAAAAGAGCGGCCCACACTGCAATCATGCCGGGGGGCGCGCCGCCCACAGGCCAGCCTGGCGCAAGAGCGGCCGCGCACCCCGCCCCGCCTCCGTCCTCAGGTCCCGGGACGGCCAAGCTGGGCCAAGACGGCGGCGAAACCGGAACGCTGCGAGCCCTTTCTGCCTGGGAACAGGGTCTTCTCGTGAGCAATGGCGCCGGGGCCCGGCCGCGAGGGGCGGAACCGCAGGCGCCACGAGCCAATGAGCGGCGCTGGCCGACTCGCGGCCCAATGGCAGCAGCGCGGGCACGCTGGGGACGGTCCCGGCGCGCCCGACTTTTCCAGAAGACCCGGGTAGCGCCTCCAGGCCACACTGAGCCGGCTTTAGGCACTCCGCACGCCGCGTCTCCTCCTCTTCCTGTGGTGGTTAGCTATGGCGGCCGTGAAGACCCTGAACCCCAAGGCCGAGGTAGCCAGAGCCCAGGCGGCGCTGGCGGTCAACATCAGCGCGGCCCGGGGACTGCAGGACGTGCTGAGGACCAACTTGGGGCCTAAAGGCACCATGAAGATGTAAGGCGGGGCCGGCGGGTAGGGTAGGGCGGACACCACGCACCTCGCGCCGTCGCGGGCATGGCGGCGGGGGCCACGGCCTTGAGCTCGCCGCCCCTGGGCCTCTGCTCGCGGCTACGGCCCTACTTACCCGCATACTCCCGGGTCGCGCCTGTTTCCTGCCCCGGCCGTTTCCTCTTGTAATCGATGCCGTCTCTGCGGAGAACAAAGCTGCCCGCGTGCGCGGCGCTCCCCCGCGCCCTGGGCTCCAGCAACCCTAAGGGTTCGGCCGACTGTTTCTCTGAAGGGAGGGGGTGGGCACTGCATCATTCCTATTGCTGGGTAGAGAGAACCAGCCGCGTGGCCCCAGCTCCCTAGGTTCTGGGTAAAGCCGGATTTGAATGGGACTCTTAATTTGGTGTCCGTTGAAAAAGTCACACTGTGGTTCATTTCTGCCCATTGAACAGGCTTGTTTCTGGTGCTGGAGACATCAAGCTTACTAAAGATGGCAATGTGCTGCTTCATGAAATGGTGAGAGACTGCTATACTAGGTCAAAAATGTCTTGGTTTTCCGTATTACGTGTAATTTGCAAGAGGATTTTTAATGTTCATTTTCAAAATAGGAGAAATCACTATTAGCCCTCAGCAGGTCTCGAGGAAGTAGAAAAGGAATATTATCGGTAACAGTACTGACAGTACAGTGCCAGGAGGAACCCTGGGGAGTCTGATAACTTATTTTTGAATCCCTACTCTTGCCATGTAAGTCCTTGGTTAAAGGATGGTAGTTACTAAAATTTATTAAAATTTGGAAAACTAAGCGGTTGACCCGGGTAGGTGCAAAATGTAATAACATGGCTATACTTTTTTATTATTATTGTTGTTGTTATTATTCATATGCTATTTTTTCTCTTTATAAAACCGCAGTTTCTGTCTGGTCCATCTCCACCTCCAGCTGAAGGGGAGACAAAACTCTTTGCTTTACCGTTTTTAAGTCTCACTGACCCAAGAATATAAGACTGTTGAGAGGAGCAATTGTTTTACTCTTCCCTAAGTTTCCAAAACCTGGCACTTAAAATCCAAGAAAGGAAATGACTTGCCTGTGTTTTGAATTCAGAATAAAATTTAGGGTTTTGATATTAGTGTACCATGCCTTCAGTTTGCAGATATTTGTAAACATCTTCAGTAAGGATTAGCTAACCTAGAAGGTTAGTTTTAGTTTGTTTTTAGTTGGCTAAGTGGTGACCTGTGCTAGCAGACAAACTGTCAGTGTCCCCAGAGACAAAAGGCTGCACTAGGTTAGTGGAGAATAGGAGATTTAAAAATCAAAAGCAGTACAGGAGCATTGTTTGGATCCTTTGTAATTAAGAATCTGTGGGTGATGTTGGAGACATAATGAATATCCTGTTCTCCCAAAACCTTTCTTCGGTGATGTAGCATTCACCGATGATCTTTGCTAAAGGAACTTTTTTTTCTTTTTAATTATTTGTTCCGTTCCAACTGAACTGGAGGCTGCTGGGGTTTAATTTTAGAAGGAACCTGGTTTAGGGGCGCCTGGATGGCTCAGTTGGTTAAGTGTCCACCTTTGGCTCAGGTCATGATCTCACAGTTCATGGATTTGAGCCCCACATAGGGCTCTGTGCTGACAGCTCAGAGCGGAGCCTGCGGTGGATTATGTGTCCTTCTCTCTCTGCCCCTCCCCTGTTCGCATTCTGTCTCTCTCAAAAATAAACAAACGTAAAAAATATGTATTAAAAAAGAAAAAAGAAGGAACCTGGTTTATTGTCACAAGAGCCATAGATTTGTCATAAAGAAGCATGCATGGATTTGAAATTATTTCTTACTTGTAACTCACCTTCAATAAACCTTAACTAAGCCTCAGATTTCCTCATCAGTAAAGTGGAGATAATCCACTCAAATCTATATGTGAATGTTTTTATTACCATAAATTGATGTGTAAAATAGTTAATGGTGAGTTTTAAATCAGCACCGCATGTAGCTGAACATTTGGGCAATTTATGCAAATAGATGCTCTTAAAGGAGTCCCTTCAGATATTTTAAGGTATATTTATTTGGACTGTTTGAATTTAAGTAATTTTCTTCTTTTTCTACTTCCAGCAAATTCAACACCCAACAGCCTCCTTAATAGCCAAAGTAGCAACAGCCCAGGATGACATAACTGGTGATGGTACCACTTCCAATGTCCTAATCATTGGAGAACTACTGAAACAGGCGGATCTCTACATTTCTGAAGTATACATGATTCTTGTGTTTCTGTGATAGTTATGTAAACATGAAATAATCTGAATTTTATTTATATAAATTTATGTGTTCATAGTAGCTGAGGCAGTATAGTAGAATGTAAAGAGCAGGGGGCTTAAATCTTGGAACCAGAGCCTGGTCTTATACAAGTTTATTGTGATCCTGGACAGATTAAAGAACCTTCCATGGCCTGCAGGATTTTTTTTTTTTTTTTTTTGATCAAGTGGCATTGCATATGATTTATATATGTCTATAACATAGATTGGTAGTTGAGATCTAGAAACTGGATATTCAGGACTAGGCATATTTATAAAGAAAAAGCCAACTAAAATGTAAATTTAAGTAAGAATTCACAACTTTTTTTTAGTCCTGAGTAGTTTGAAAGTTAAAGCAAACCATAGTAGTGATCTAATGCCAAGAAATTCCTGGGAAGAGAGGAAAATCAGACCCTTGGTCTCCCTGTTTTTGTTTGTAAAAGATGTGAATAAATGGTTCCCCTGAGCACAGTTTTGAGTTTGGGGCATTATTCCTTGTGGTTTGCACAGTGAAAACCCAAGTGTGCTTTATAGTTCCCTTGGTTTTGACTCTGTGCTACAGCAATGTCTGTTCTTTTCCTCTGCATTGAAAGGACTATCTATCCTTTTAAATGTATTCAGAAAGTCAGCACATTTTATTGTATTAAAGCATATAAATGATCCAGAATATTCCTTTAAAAATTTACTTTGTCATCTAATTGAAGAACTCCAGTGTTAGAGATGATGGTTATATGATTATATGTTTGTAGGGTCTTCATCCCAGAATAATAACAGAAGGATTTGAAGCTGCAAAGGAAAAGGCACTTCAGTTTTTGGAACAAGTCAAAGTAAGCAAAGAAATGGACAGAGAAACACTTATAGATGTGGCCAGAACATCTCTACGTACTAAAGTGCATGCTGAACTTGCTGATGTCTTAACAGAGGTATGTTAAATGTGGCATTTGGTACAGTACACCTGTGTTGAAGACCCTTGATATACTTCCTAGTTTTGGTTACAGGATGCTATCTGAAACCTTCACTGTGTCAGAGCTCCTGGGTTCCTCAGTCCATTGAGTGTCCCAACTCTAGATTTTGGCTCGGGTTATGATCTCATGGTTGTAAGATGGAGCCGTGCATCAACATTGGGAGTCTGCTTGGGATTCTCTCTCTCCACCCCACCCCCACCACCCTTCT